AACATTGCAACTATGGCTAATCTAAATGGATTAAGATACTCATATAAGTTATGTCATTACAATTTTTGGACAGGTATTTGTTCCTCAACTGCAGATAAACTCTGTGGGCATTAAAACTAAAGCCAGGTTTTATTAAATTGTGGTTACAAAAGTAGAGCAAACAATGCAAACTACAGAAAGATTATCAATTCACGATTATTACTGGTTGTAATTTTTCTTATCGTCACAAAATAGGCTATCTGATATTTTTTACATAATTTTTATCTGTACAGTCGCTAATTTCTAGAGCATTGCAAAGTTTTATTTTTTTAAATCAACAGTCTGACAGATATTGAACTCTTAGGCTTTCGCTTTTACACATAACAAAAAATCCGTATATATATATGAGTGCTGCGGCGCTTGTAAAGGTCCCTAAATGTTGGTTTCTTTAAAATAAAAAAACTACAAATACAAGCTATGCCTTAGGTCCGAAAACAAAAATGTTATAGTTTAGATTTTCTGACAAAACAAAGAATGCTTATAATTCCGTCTAGAGATACGGTAATTGCTTTCAATGCTATGGATAATCTGACTGGTTGCTGGCTCATATACCTATTATAAAAACAGAGTAATAAAGAAGTAGAAAAGACACTGAATTTAAATTTTATTCAACAGTATACCCTGACGATTGCATACAAAATTGTCAATATAAAGCTGTAGTATTGAAGTCATGCGTCGTGTGCGGGCGCTATCTAGAAGAGTATCAAGACGATGCCGTTACTGTCAGCTGCGACACGATAACTGCGCGTGGGCAACTGCCATAGAGTAGGTTACTATCAGAAGTATGACAACAAATATTCCGTTTCACAAAATATATGTAATTTTTAAATGTAGAAGACACAAGGTGAACACTTTTAGTATTAAACTCAGTTAAGGAAATGAACTTAGTACTAAGTTTATTCGTAAGTTAAAATAATTAGACTGACTTTACTGTGTCAAAAGTTACAAAACAAATATTTATTTGAAATCTATAATGTATACGTAAAAATGAACGTTTTTTTTTAGTGCGTTCTATTATTATTCATCTGGTTACTATTATAAATCTTGTATGAGTTCTTGGTACACATACCACGTAAAAGTTTCTGAAGTATTAGATCCTGCATCTAGGCACGGGTATCTTCTAAAAAGAAGGTGAAGTCCGTCTTTTACAGATCTAAAAAAAAACTATCTTATTTCCGTGGTATTGCAACTAGAAATAAAAGCAGCCGAGATTTAATTATGTCACTTATAAAATTACTATAGCTCTACGTAAAGTTTCAATACATTTGGACTATTTGAATAATAGTACCTAATAGACGTCTCTACACATTTATATACTCTGTACTTATATCAAGTACTTACTATATTCATACTAATGGCCGCCGCAATCACAAATGTCACCGTTAATTCGCATACCAGCGATACGAAAGCAATGGTTGCGAGCTTCAATGCCATTTTCAAGTAAAATAAAACCGCACATGTGTGAACGTGTCTTCAGTTTTGAATGTAAATTGTTTTTAGTCCTCATTACTTCTTACGTTCGAGTTAGATTTCAAATGTACTTTGACTACTTATTAATAGCAAATGAAGGAAGGAATAAATGAGGGAAATTTGATTCTAAGAGAAAATGATAGTATTTTTGAAAAATTGAGATTTTTTTTAAAATTTATTATGACATTGTAGCATAAAAGTAGTATAATTACAGGTTTGGTTTGTTGTACCCGAGGTTTTGTAACATTCTTTACAATATTTGAGGCTATCATTGCTAAAGCATAATCACATTCAGTTTTTTTCTCAATATTTTTTATGCATGAAACTAACATTCAAATATAAAATAATTATGCACTTCAGTGTCATTTAAAGTAATATTGTAGAAAAAAATGAATACAATTTGATTTTTTCTTATGATACCAAACGACGAACAGGTTGTGTTACCTGGTGGTAAAACAAAGATTTGAGAGATACTGCTACTGTGTCCGTCACCCTGACCCATAGGTAAGTTGACAAGTCTCATGTGCCTATAATTGCACCACCATCCTTAGCCTTCAAAACCGGAACACAATAGTGTGAGTGGTAGTACTTCCCTAGACGATCTCTTTCACAAGGAGCTCTACTGCTACTAAGCTAATTAATACTTGATATTTTTTCTACAATCTCGGAATTGAAGACTGATTTATAAATATACCTACACTCCTCGAAGGTGACATCCGTGTAACGAAAACAGGTACACATGAAGTTTTTAAAGAAAAACATTAACCGTAAAATGAAGACAAATAACTCGCGAAACCGTGCTTAACATTCGAAACAGCGCAAACGCACGTTCCGAACGCATTGTCAAAACACCTTATACAATTTCACAACCGTACAGAAAAAAAAACAAGGAAAAACATCCGTACCGTGTGTGGTCGCGAAATAAAGACCCGCCACTAAATTCGAATAATGCGCACTCGAAACAGCAAATATTTTTCAAACACCTTTAAGGACAATAATCCTGTGTGAATCGCCGGTAATTTTGGTGTCGGTGACAATACTGTCATTTCTGTTTCCAAAAGGAAAAGGGACTTTGTTTAACACAGCGGGATTTCCGATTCAGGTGATTGCTATGTAATTTGTGAGTAATTCTCTGCTATAAAGCGGCCTAAAGTCCCCACCTATTATTATGTTGTCATAGTGTTTAATGGAAGGGTAGGATTGTAATGTGTTTGCATTTATTTCTTTTAAACCCTGATCTTTTACTTTGTTCCTAATAACAGCTTCATAATAAAGTGCAGAAACAACAAACCGTTGAAGTAGGTTTTTCTACAAAACTATATGAGCTTTGTAATAGTAGTTAGCCTGTTAAGAAATAAGTGTCTGTTAGAATCAGTAAAGTCAATTCTTTTTTAAAATGTGAAGGAATACGGCAACTAATAAACCGACCAATTTGGAAAACCACAAAAGGCGTTAAATCTGTAACGAATCACTCTTTAAATTTGTTATATGAATAACCTTAAAAAATCGCTTCACCAGAAACATGATACACTCACGGACAGTCACAATTTGTTACCTTTTTAACACATCGTATATTACCAAAATCTGAAAAAAATAAGACATGTGGGCTTTTATAAAACGTGTTTTGAAAAGAATCGAGCTTTATGTCATTTTGATACACTCTTAAGAGCCTTTGTGTGTGACTGAATCGACAATGGAGTCTTTTTATTCATGTGAACAACTTTTAAGGTCTAAATCGATTCGGAGTTTGAATTGAATCGATTTTTCAAGCTCAGTAGTCGTCTTTTGTTGCTAATAGCGAGAATGGTCTTGGGTTTTACGTTAACCTTTATAATTACCGCTTTTACCTCTATTAATCCTGTATTGTGCATCGATTTGATCAATGATGGAAATGTACCTATTTGTTTTCACCAGTAGGTGCAGTTGCATTCATGATTGCCACACTACTGCACTGTGATTAAAGTTTGGTTAATTTGAATTTCGAACAGATTTACGTGATTTTAAAACATCAGGATTGGCCAATTTGAATTTTGAAAAAGTCGTAGTCGTTTCATATACTCTTTTCTGAATGTGTTTTGACTTGGTCGTAGAGGAACTATTTAATGTAATATATAAAAAAGCAAAAATTTGACTTAATTTTAAAGTAACTCTTCTACTCCAGAACTACGGCCTTAACTTGTGACTTTGGCATCAAATAACTAGTCCAATTCAATATAAGGGTATGTTATAAGTAAAATTTCATTCCATGGACTTATTTCTATATAGTGTATATCTTATTTCTTATTTTCTATAAAGTGTAAGCTTTATAGAAAATTCATATTCTATGAATTTTCCATAAAGTATAATAAAAGTATACGTCCGACCGGAAAGTTATACCTACAATAATGTGGAACCACATTTCTATTAAACCTATATTACACATACTGTTTATAAAAATATTTTATTAACTTTTCATATCAGCTGATTGCTTTGTGTACCTACTTCTTTTTTTTTCTTTGTTTCATTGTTTGTTTTTTTAATTTAATTATTGCGTATGTAAAGTGTATCGCAGCTAGTGAAGTCATCGTTTTTCAATAAGACAATTACATTTCCAAAGTGTAAGACATTCATTACTCGTTTATATCAAGCATAAATCACTGAAGCTTTATTAATGAAGACATCTCTCTTCTGTATTATACATGCACATAATTTGATACCAACAACCGGGAGAGCGCCATCTATCAGTCTATTGGAGAACTTACTCCATTTGTTAGGATTATGAAATCGACACAGATAATGAAATATGACAAGATTATGTAAAATAGAAAATATTTTATTTATTTACATAGCGAGTTTTGATATTTTTCTCTGAAAATACCGGTGGCCATATTTCCTCTTCTTTCAATTTTGTTCATGAGGTTAATGAGCGTTTCATTTAATTAAATAATGTTTTAATAGTTTTAATATTTCTTAGCTTTTTATTTAACATTTAAGTTTTTTGCTAGTTTAAAATTATTTGAACATTTTTAGGCAATTTTTGCTGTATTCTACATTTAAAAGTAACGCCATTCTTGAAGTCTGCAATATTCATTTCAGAATATGTGATTCTTGTTCAGAACATTTGATTAATGCTATTGCCTTTCATTATTTAAAAATGTGTATTGTTATTCTATAAGCTAAATCAATCATATCTTCTATATTTTTTATATTTCCCGTGTAACTGTTCAAGACATATTTTAAAAAGTTGAATATAAAGTACTTTGACGTCTTTCTCAGTTTTAGTATTAGTAAATATTATATTAATATATTGTTTTCTATAAGCCAGGCTCAGTACAACTGTTTGTTGAATTATGATACATATTTTGGTCGTTCAAGATTACCCATGCTTTATTTAGAAATTTGATATAATCGACGAGATAGTCAATAGAAACAACAATATTTATGGTAGTCATCAATATTTAATTACACTACGTAATGTGTACATAGATTAACATCGGAAATACTATCTTCAAAAGATTACAAAAAAAACTTTATAATAAGGCCAAAGGAGGAAGACTTCACACTTAATAATGTAAAATTCACAAAATATTATTTCTTAATAAGTTGTATATAATTACAAGCTAGTCTTAAAACTAAGGGACGGAGTGCACAAGTCTGACTTACCAGTATAATTTAATATTTACATACAAAAATGAGATCAGAAAATGTACAAGGTTAAGAAAACAAAAATTGCAGATTTTAATACTAAAGAACAACCCAGAGCTTAAGAACCATAATCGTGAATAAACATAACTATTCATACGATATTTTGTTTTGCAAAAAAAATAACAAGGGGATAAATTATCACCGCTATTTGACCGTGTGGTCACCATCAACTGGTTCCATAAGTTTGATGGTCAATTTACTGTCTATTTTTATAGCTGTACCCAAGACGGCTCTAAAACTTAAGACTACAAAGTTTTTTATATGTATTTAATCAGTCTTTTTTTCACTACTCATTCACATGTGCTAGTTTTCATCTTCGGTGTCTAAGTTGTCAATTGGAAAGTTGGGATTTAGTAAGGGACTTTTTCCATTGCTTCCGCTGGGTGAGGTGTTAACTGAGGAGATTCCTACTAAATTGTGTGTGAGACTATGGCGCCTTAAATCGCAGTTTCTTCTGAAGACCTTTCCACAAGAGGAGCAGTTGTAAGGCTTGATGTCAGTGTGTGTTAGGAGATGAGTCTTGAGATTGGACCTTTGGTTGAAGCTACGACTGCAGACGGGACACTTGTGTGGGGACTCCTCCATGTGTAAAATCTTATGGACGGCCAACGTCCGGGATTGACAGAACCCTTTTCCGCATTCGAGACACTTAAAAGGCTTCTCCTTGGAGTGGATATATCTGTAATAGAAATTTTCGATTAAAGATATGTAGATAAATATTAAGTTGCTTTATTCGTTCGGATATCAAAACGATGTTGTATTTAAATTTAATTTGAATTGCTATGATGCTTACAACGTTCATTATTTGTTGAAAATACCACATACAAAACATGAAGGAAAATAAGGACATCAATTCAAGCCTATATAAAATTTGAACGTGAAAATATGTGTTCATAAACTGCAATATTACTTTAAACTTCAGCAATATGTCATTGAAATACAACGTTGAAAGCCTGACATAAATAAACATCCTACAGCGAAAACGGAAAATCAAGCGCATAAAATGCTTAAGTAACAGCACCATTTAGCTGGAAAGGCTATCATTGAGAAGGGCAATAAATACATCATGTCTGGAGGCGCCGAAACATCGGCTCTCGCGTGTTCTGAACACCTTGTGGGAGCTGGGAAGCAAACAAGCGCCCGCGGGATATTGGTAATAAATTGGCATGTACACTCTCAATTTTATTGCCAGTCCCATTAATTTACGCCAACTCAAAACCAACCACACAGTTATACCATCTGGACAAACATCTACATACTTAGATAAGCAATACACTTTACTGATACAAAATTTATGATCCCATGTCAAAGTCTAATAAAATAAGCGTGAAAAAGATAATCAAACAACACAAACAGTAATTTCAATAAAACAAATCTTTGTTTTATAAAACGTAGGAATTATACAATTTTAATTAAATGTATCCGTACAACTTGCAATTAACACCGTATAACGTATAATCAATAATAACACAAAACACGATGCCCGGCAATCGAATACAATTCGAGGAAATTATCTACGTATCGGATAAACAAATATTCTACGAAAGAAATTAATGATGTGCTCAAAGTAACGTAATACGTGTAATAATCGTTGGGATTACTTAGATTGGGGACGATAAATGGGTATAGGATGATGAATGAAATAATAATTTCAATATTAAAAGACGAGATGATGATGATTAGGGAACGAGTATGCGCGCGCAATGGAGCGTGACACGACACCGCCGCGGTGCAGCGTTAGGCCTAACTCGAAGCAACACGACATCTCCGTTGGCTAATTAAGCTTGCAATACTTATTAATAGACTATGAAATAGTATTCTTACTAAGTTTAAATGTTTTTAGAAGTGATAGTTCAGAACCGAGTTTAGTTATTTCATTATAAGATTTATTGATGAGGATAATAGATTAATTAATCATTGCAGAGTTGTAAAAAGGGTTAAGATCACTGAATTTAAACTTAAAAGATTTGCGAAAGGATATCTACACGAAAAACTAAACAAGATACAAATTAATTTAGGGTCATTATCAGAATTCCAATCTGCACAAAAAAATCTCAACAATCCGAACAATAAAACTTGATTTTGTATGCGAGGGATATTTACCATGTTTTTTTTTGTCATCCATATTAATCCTCTCGTCAGGATCACCACGTGTTTTGTTAAAACCCGTCGAAGTCTCGCTTCGGTCCATTATAATGTATCGTGTCAACGTACATCGATTGAACATTGACAGGCCGGGCTCGGCCCGGCTCGGGTTAACCCTCTGGCGTCTACACGAAATTTATTTTATTGCTACAGAGATACGGTGATTTGGAAGGAAATTGCCGAGAGACAGGTGTTAAGAATTCAACACCTTTAGCTCTTTTTGGTGGGTGTTCTTTATAAGTGGAGTAATAGATTAACAAAGATAACGACTTCTTATATGACTATTGTTATTCTTGATTGTGTTTGATATATTTGTCATGTTTGGTATTCTAATACCGGCCAAACATATCAGTTTTAATTGTAACAAGGCATGTAAAAGATATTTTGTGATAAATAAGATAAGCGCAGAGTTTTACAAAGAATTCAGAGAAGGGTACAAAATGAAAGCCAAAATTAAAACATCGACTCTTCTTGGATTAGCGGCGGTTTTGTAACATAATTTACGAGCGTGACGAACGACTTGTCGATACCATCAGCTCGAACCATACTTGACCCTTTTTGTTTTAAATATTTTCCCCTCACCGCCATTATTCAAAGTTGCTCATAACATTTTGCATTGAAACCCGAGGACTAATATCTTTTATTGATATCGAAAAATGAGATTCGTGAACCTCTAAAATGTATCTCGACACAGTATTATTATCTTTTTAAGCAAGAGCCGGGCCATTCGATCCGTACTTTTGGGATAGGGAAACAAAATTAATCACTGTAATTGATTTACTCGGTCGCTTGAGTGTGAAGATAATGTTTCGAATATCGATAAGTGTTCATTAAGATAACAGTGACGAATTACGTGCTTATGTTTTGCTGGTTAACATTTAGAACTTGAACCTGGTCAAGTCTTGACAAGTCTGTTTCTGTCTATTTAACGTACATGATCTGATAAATCATTCCTCACGTTAGGCTAAGCAAACAGTTCAGCTAGTCTGTATATCTCGAATAATATAATTTTAATGCATAATAATTTAAAAAAAGAGTACACAGTTACCTGTGGTCTCGTAGATGATCTTGCCGTCGGAAGGCTTTGCCGCAAATGTCGCAAGAATAAGGCCTCTCGTCCGTGTGCGTCCTTTCGTGGATAAGTAAGTTGTAGGATTTCGTGAATTGCCGATTACAAAACTTGCAAATGAATTGTTTCTTTGTTCTAGTTCCACTACCAGAGGTTTTCGGTTTATTTGATATACTACTTCCCGTCGAAGACGTAGAACTATTAGTAGATTTGGAACTTGAGGAATTAGAAGGTTGCGGGGATAGAGGCGCTTGCGATGGACTTCCGTTCATTTGTTGTTGATACATTGCATTCATTATGAGACTTGGATATCCGTTGTCCAAATTTTGTGATGAACTGTACCCATATTTTGACGTTGATTCCAAATGTTGCTCCAATGCAAATTCGTCTTCATTATCTAATAAAGCTAAATCTTCCTCAACTTCTTCTGATAAATCAACATCTTCTGCCGCTATTGCATCAGATAACGGATATTCTTCCGGCGTTTTAGGTGAAAATTCTCTAGTAGTATTTTCTGTTGCATCTACATCACTTATTTTTGCACTTGCGGTAGCTATTCTTAAGATATCTTGCTTAGATGTTGAACTATTATCAGATGCATTAGGTTGACTTGTAGTATTTACAGAAGAGACAGATGTTAGACGTTGTAAAGTCAAATAAGATTCCAATGCTTGTAAGTTTAAAGCGGCAGCTGCTGCTGAATTTGAAGGCAGGAGTGCGGCTTGTTGTAGAGAATTCATCATTGCATTTTGAAGAGAAATGACAACGCCTTGAAGTGATCTTTGTAGCATGTTTTCTTGTAACAATGCAGCAGACGCTAACGATAAATTCAAATTTGTACTTGTAGATGAACTATGGGTCTTACTTGCATTAGCTTTCGTCTCCGGATGTGGGGATGGTGGGTCAACTGCCAACAGTCCATTCATGTCTGTTGAGGTCTTGGTATCCTGTATTTGTAGGTTATTCTTCAGCTTGATGATAGCGCTTTCCAAAGAATTCAATGTAGATTTGCTTGATCGCGAGGAACTTTGCTCTTGCATCGTGAATCTGTGTTTCAACCAAACGTTGTAATATGAACATTGGAGGATGATGTTTGAAAATGCACGTGCGTCGCGGGGCGCGGGGATGTGTCGCGTGCGCGTGCGCTGTTCGAAGCACGCGCGGTGCGGCGGCGTGCGAGGCGGCTGTACGGCGCGGCGCGACTGAGCCGCCGGGCAGCCGCCGGCCGCCCCGCCCCCACCTCGACCCGCGCCTGCCTTCCCGCCTCACAAAAGCTCTCTATTTTAGGCAACTCTTTGTACGAGTAATGGTCACCTCACGCTGCCCTAACGACAGACACGTCCATGAGAACAACGTTGCGCCAGATTTGTTGAATCCCTTTCAAGTGTAATGAGATTCTGAATGGAATCGGGCTTGGCTGCTATGGGAAAACAATGTATTGCAGCGATCGCTCCGGTTGTTTTGTCAGTGGGTCACGCGCTATCTCTAACATAGCGACCTGCGTTGTATATATTTTACTATACAATACTTTCCGATACTGTTATTATAACCTGTTTATGTATTCGTTTGGTTCCTGCAGGTTTCTGTTACGACTATAGTACGTATATCAAAGATAGAGATGCTTTTAATAACTATAACTTTTCCGTGCTGGACTATATTACAATTTTAACGACTATAAGCTTCTCATTAAGTGCATCTTTTATAGGACTTTTAATTAAAACTAGAAGTATCTTTTTAGGGCTTTGTTTGAATGATGGGTGGGCATTAAAATTATTGGTGGCATTGGCCGGCGCCCATAAAGCGGACATCGGAGAACGAGCTGGAAACAAAAGTAGACATTAACCAAATAAATATTAAACCGAGGCAGTGTCCCTTTTCTCGTTTACTTTTGATAGTGTCAAGAACATTGAGACAGGGCTGTTATGGGTTGATGATGTTTCTTAAGATTCTAAGGTCAATTCTATGCAATTTACATTATGAACGGTTCATAGTACTAAAATTAAGATTTACGTTCTATGGACGAAAGAGATATATAAATAGTATAATATCGTAGTCATGATTTGAATTGACGTATCAACCCATGCACATATGACTCCTGCTACGTGGCTCCTCTAATCGGCCATTGTCAACCACTCTGGCTCAATGTGGTTAGGGGACTTTATTGTTTTCGGTAATATTCTGATTTTAGCATGATATTTTTAACCGACTTCAAAAAAGGAGGAGTTCCTCAATTCGACAATATTTTTTTTTGTATGTTACGTGTGAGACGCGATTTGTGAACCGATTTTGATGATTCTTTTTTGTTGTAAAGAGTGTACCTCATTAGTGGATCCATTTAAATTTGAATAAATGGAAGGATGGCAAACTAAGGGATGAATGTTGATGAATGTGGTTTTTTTAGTATCGACTCTGTATTGAAATTATCACAAGGTAATTTTCAAGCCAAGTGATAATTAAAATAAACGGTAAACTAAATTCCATGTGCGTATAGAGAATTTCTGTGCAACAAGCACATAGAGAAATTAGTAAGAAGAAGAATAACTGTAGCACGATTAAATTTGGAAATAAAAAGTAAAATTGAAAGTAAAATTTTGATAATACAATTTTTTCAAGATCAGATCAGACGAAAATTGTTTAAAAAAATATTAATTTAGACAGTTCTGCATTTTAAAAGTTCTATATACAAAATGCATGTAGAGACATAAAACAAAAGCATAAGCACACAAACCCTTAACACACAAAATGTTTATTAAGCTTGTCACGGCCAAGTTAATATTCGGTTAATATTTGATATTTCCATTTGCTTTTGTGAAGTGTGAAAGTAAAATAAGCAGACATAATGTTGATGAATTCTCGTCTTTTAAAACTGCTTTGGTTTTGCACTTATACAAGAGGTATAAAAAAGCTTTCATCTAGTGTTCGTCCTCATGATAAAAAACAAATTGATTCTTCATAAAAATATGTAATTGACAGCGCACGCTTGGTGCGGCGAAATATTATTTTTTGTCCAAATATAAGGTAATTTTTTAAATATTTTGTGAATTTTTACTTATATTGTTTATTATCATCACTAAGATCATCAGCTGAAATGATGGCATATTTTTGATACATTCAGCTCATAATGTAAACATAGGATCTGGAACATAAAATTTATAAACATGTCTGGAAAAAGCGAATTCACCAAATTGTGTAGTTTGTAATAAAATTAAAGACGTCAACATTTGTTGGCAGAATGTACAAAGAACGAAAGCCAGTGACAACTACTGATGATTCTATTATAATTGAACCGCTCCAATGTCAACTTCTTCCAAGGGATTCTGTCTGAACCCTTGTCAAAATATACAAAAATGTTATGTGACATGGTAGATTGGCGATAGTTAACGTAGTACTTTTAATGTAATAATAATATAAAAATAATTTTGCTATAAATTGCACGACAATTCGAATAAGGTTATTATAGGATTGGCATGTTCTCTAGAACAAAAGTCCTAAAATTAAATGAAGATTTCAAAAAAAGGCTAGAAAGATTATTTATTATTTTTTTAATTTATTATGACTAGATTATTTATTTAAAACTTTTATCCGTACTTACACGGATAAAAGTTTTAAATAAATAATCTTCCCGCAATGTTCAATGTCCTTTTTGTTAGAGAAGACTGTAGCTATATAGTAATAGTATATGATGAAGGTCTACGTCCAGTACGTTAATTTAGTTTTGAACACTACTTGGCATTAGCTGTCAGCACTTATTAACACTGTATTTATAATAAAAGTGAGTTAAATATCATGTATCGTCAACATATTTGATGCTAATGGGTATTCACGAAACATCTAAAACGCTGGTTCAGAATAAGTGAGGTTGTTAATGCGTCTCGACAAGTGGGATCCAAGCTTTTGCTCTTAATATTAGACAGTATTATTAAGTTGTATAGGCCATAAAATAGGAGACAGAATTTGCTGTACGTAATTACCTACTAAGAATTCAGTAGGCGGTACAATTTACTTACTATAATATATAAGCACTTGAACAAGAACTCAAACAGGCTGATACCAGGTAGACACTTGTATGTTGCAATAGTGCAACAATTTGCTACAATCCTAATCGTTGTTACGGATACTGAGTAAAGACAAAAGGCGCATGCTCCAATAGAGCGTGATAATTACACAATTGACATGAGAAACGGGGAAATAGAACGTTTAAGCTTGAGATTGAAAGACGGTGTGAAGGTAGTTACGATTTTGTGAGAACTTGTAGCGAATTGCTCAAGAGTACAGTTGCAGAACTCAAGTGCATAAGGATAATAAATTTATGATCACTGACCAAAGTTAAATGTTAAAGACTTTAAGTTCAGAAACTCAAGATATATTGTAGTATAAAATTAACTGCAACTGTTGCGCCTGACTTTTAGGGAAATAGGGTAAAACACACTTGCCTAGATGCTGATAACTATGTCGTTTGTTCTATGTGATTAAAATTTAAGCTCTCCAAAGCATCTAGCTCTCACAGCAGGAAACACATGCCACCATCTTTTTGGTAAAGAAATTCCAACGATGTGTAAAGATCTTCTCTAATGTGCTACTCTACTCCTTTCGATCTTGTGTTTTGCTCATCAACGTTTACCCGCAACTTTAACAAGGTCATCAGTTCAGCCTATCGACTGCCTACCTACGCTTCTGTACCCTTCTCTGGATCACTACTCAAGCACCCTTTTATCCAATCGGTGGAAGACCACCGATTGGATAAAAGGGTGCTTCTCTACTCTACGGGGCATATGGCCTGTCCATTCCCATTTTCTGCTAGCTAACACTTTGGTTAGTCGATAAGATTGGTGCTTTTTCCGGATCTCTGTGTTCCTGAGTTCAATTTAGGGAAGATATATCCAACATAGTCCGTGCTATAGCTCTCTGAGTGGCCTGTAGCTTTTGCACTGTCTGTCTTATCAGCGTTCATGACTTAGCTCATAAATTTGTTCTAAAATTTGTAAAGACGTTTGCATCACAGGTATAACATTATGTAAGTTAGAATATTACCAGACAATGATAAACCATTTGTAACATTTTCGCGCTAGGCGTCGATGTTGCATAAATTATACATCATACATGTGCAACATTATAAGGGTCACAACACACGTCGCAAGTTGTCGACCCTACGTCCCTAATTCGTTTAGGCGTTAGGCGAGCACGAGCGTTCGGGCGTTCTCACGCCGCCACCGCCCGGGGGCAGCGCGCGCGCACGACTCCACCAGATATAAAATTAATTTATCTATAACTATTGCAGCCATGCTATGTGGAGTGCGGTGGAGTGTCTGAAGTTAATAATGGAAATGAACCTTTAGTTTGGATGTAGAGTATCAGTTAATAGGACAAATAATTATCATAGCAATTCCTGTACCGTCCGTTATTTTGTCATTTTCGTTACGACTTTTTTCCTTTTTTTATATTATCAAGTGACGGGACGAACAAGTCGTGCGCCTGGTGGTAATTGACGCGCCTATCTATAACAGTTGCAGTATCATAGATCTTATAGGTACTGCCACTTCACCCGTCACCTTGAGACATAAGTTGACAAGTCCCATGTGCCTGTAATTTCACCCTTACCCTTCAAAACTGGAACACACTAACGCTCACATTATCGCTTGGTGGCAGAAATAGGTAAGATGGCAGTACTTCCCTGGACGGACTCTTTCACAAGGAGTACTATTGCTACTAACTTCTTGTTATTTTGTAACAATTATAATGTTTAAATTGTATGTCAATAGTAAAGCTTTCGACGTCAATTTCAAATAAGAAAGCTGCGATGAACGTTTACATTCAATTTAAGTTATTCTTAACTTTACACTAAAGGCGAAATACTTATTGATGACATGACAATTAAGTTAGTCCCAAAACAACCTCAGCATGGTCACATCATAACCACACAGTTCGTAACATTTCAGCTTTCTCCAAGCTATCTTGTGATTTACGAACTCGCCAAACATGCTCGGTTTTGGACAGAATTTGTACAGTTAATCTGATGATCGTCAACCATATTCGTTACAATTTATACTCATAACATAACGCATAACGAAGACAAACATGCTCTGTAAGCTTTTGGTGTAGTACTTATCGAACACCAATTTGGAATCTTTAGTACTTAAACAATAGTAGTAACAGTACAGCTCCTACTAACCTAACCTTACCTATTTCTGCCGCCAAGCA